TTAATTAGCATTTCAAAGTCTAGTTTCTTGAGTTCTTTATGTATTTTGAAGATCAGACCTCTGTCTGTTGCAGGGTTGGTGAAGATCTTCTCCCAGTCAAAAAGGTTGCCTTTTTGTCTTAATAACAGTGTCCTTTGCTTTACAGAAGCTTCTCAGTTTCAGGAGGTCCCATTTATTCAATGTTGCCCTTAATGTCTGTGCTGCTGGGGTTATATGTAGGAAGTGTTCTCCTGTGCCCATGTGTTGTAGAGTACTTCCCAATTTCTCTTCTGTCAGGTTCAGTGTGTTTAGATTGATATTGAGGTCTTTAATCCATTTGGCTTGAATTTTGTGCATAGTGATAGATATGGATCTATTTTCATTCTTCTACAGGTTGACATACAGTTGTGCCAGCACCATTTGTTGAAGATGCTTTCTTTCTTCCATTGTATATTTTTAGCTCCTTTATCGAAAATCAGGTGTTCATAGGTTTGTGGGTTAAAATCCAGGTCTTCTATTCGATTCCATTGGTTGACTTCTCTGTTTTTATGCCAATACCAAGCTGTTTTCAATACTGTAGCTCTGTAATAGAGTTTGAAGTCAGGGATGGTAATGCCTCCAGAAGTTCCTTTATTGTATAAAATTGTTTTGACTATCCTGGGTTTTTTGTTTTTCCATATAAAGTTGATTATTGTTCTCTCAAGGTCTGTGAAGAATTTTGATGGGGATTACATTGAATCTACAGATTGTTTTTGGTAGAATTGCCATTTTACTATGTTGATTCAAGAGCAAGGGAGATCCTTACATTTTCTGGTATCCTCTTCAATTTCTTTCTTCAAAGACTTAAAGTTCTTGTCAAATAGATCTTTCACTTCCTTGGTTAGAGTTACCTCAAGATATTTTATGCTATTTATGGCTATCGTGAAAGATGATACTTCTCTGATTTCCCTCTTTGCTTCTTTATTCTTTTGCTTCTTTATCCTTTGTGTATAGCAGGGCAACTGATTTTTTTTGGAGTTAATCTTGTATCTTGCCACATTATTAAAGGTGTTTATCAGCTGTAGGAGTTCTTTGGTAGAGTTTTTGGGGTCACTTATGTACACTATCATATCATCTGTAAATAACAAAAGTTTAACTTCTTCCTTTCCAATTCGAAATCCCTCAATCCCTTTATGTTTTCTTATTGCTATCACTAGAACTTCAATCACTATATTGAAGAGATATGGAGAGAGTGGACGGCCTTGTCATGTTCATGATTTTAGTGGGATGGCCTTGAGTTTCTCTCCATTTAATTTGATGTTAGCTGTCGGCTTGCTGTAAATAGCTTTTATTATATTTAGGTATGAACCTTGTATCCCTAATCTCTCCAAGACCTTTATCATAAACGGGTGTTGAATTTTGTCAAATGCTTTTTCAGCATCTAATGAAAAGATCATATGGTTTTTTTCTTTCAATTTATTTATATGATGGATTACATTGATAGATTTTTGTATGTTGAACCAGCCCTGCATCTCTGGGATGAAGCCTACTTGATCATAATGGATAATTGTTCTAATGTGTTCTTGGATTCGGTTTGCCAGTATTTTGTTGAGGATTTTTGCATCGATGTTCATGAGTGAGATTGGCCTGTAATTCTCTTTCTTGGTTGAGTCTTTGTGTGGTTTTGGTATCAGAGTGACTGTAGCTTCATAAAAGGAATTTGGCAATGACTCTTCTGCTTCTATATTGTGAAATACATTAAGGAGCATAGGTATTAGGTCTTCTTGGAAGTTCTGCATTGAAATCATCTGGTCCTGGGCTTTTTTTGGAAGGGAGGATTTTGAAAACAGCTTCTAATTCTTCGCGACTAACAGGACTATTTAGATTGTTCACCTGGTCTTGGTTTAATTTTGGTCTATGGTACTTATCTAAAAACAGTCCATTTCTTTTACATTTTCTGGTTTTGTGGTATGCAGGCTTTTGTAGTAAAATTGAATGATTCTCTGAATTTCCTCTTTGTCTGTAGTTATGTTCCCCTTTTCGTTTCTGATTTTATTAATTTGCATATTCTCTCTCTGCCGTTTGATTAGTTTGGATAAGGGTTTGTCAATCTTGTTGGTTTTCTCCAAGAACCAGCTTTTTGTTTCATTGATTCTTTGGATTGTTTTCTGTGTTTCTATTTTGTTGATTTCACCCCTCAGTTTGATTATTTCCAGTCTTCTACTCCTCCTGGGTGAGTCTGCTTCTTTTTTTTCTAGAGTTTTCAGGTGTGTTATTAAGTCTCCAATGTGAGCTTACTCCCTTTTCTTTAAGTGGGTACTTAGTGCTATGAACTTTCCTCTTAGCACTGCTTTCATAGTGTCCCATCCGTTTGAGTATGTTGAGTCTTTATTTTCATTAAATTCAAGAAAGACTTTAATTTCTTTCTTTATTTCTTCCTTGACCCAGGTGTGGTTCAGTAGTTGACTGTTCAGTTTCCACGAGTTTGTAGGCTTTCTGGGGGTTAGCAGTGTTGTTGAATTCTAACTTTAATCCATGGTGATCCAATAAGACACAGGTGTTACTAATATTTTTTGTATCTGTGGAAGTTTGCTTTGTTACCGAGTATGTGGTCAATTTTCGAGAAGGTTCCATGATCTGCCGAGAAGAAGGTATATTCTTTCCTTTTTGGGTGGAATGTTCTATAGATGTCTGTTAAGTCCATTTGATTCATTACCTCCAGTCTTACAGAAAGTAATAGAAGGAAAATCACAACCCAAGGAATCCAACATTGCCAACACTGCCTACAATAACTCAGACATCTAACGACCCTTCACCAGCACAACTCAAAGAAGGGAAACACACAAACTCTACTACAAAAAAATAATAATAACCAGAGTCAACAACTACTGGTCATTAATATCACTTAATGTCAATGGACTCAACTCACCTATAAAAAGGCACAGGCTAAGAGACTGGATACAAAAACAGGATCCAACATTCTGCTGTTTACAAGAAACACACCTCAACCACAAAGACAGACATCTACTCAGAGTAAAGGGTTGGGAAAAGCTTTTTCAAGCAAATGGTCCTAAGAAACAAGCAGGCGTGGCCATACTAATTTCTAACAAAACGGACTTCAAACTAAAATCAATCAGAAGAGATCAAGATGGACATTTTATACTCATAACAGGAACAATTCACCAGGATGAAGTCTCAATCCTGAATATATATGTCCCTAATATAAAAGCACCCACTTATGTAAAAGAAACATTACTAGAACTCAAGGCAGACATCAAACCACACACACTAATAATAGGAGACTTCAACACACTTTCTCACCAATGGACAGGTAAATCAGACAGAAACCTAACAGAGAAATAAGAGAATTAATGGAGGTAATTAATACAGTTTTAACACATGGGTTCATAACTGATTGGTGTTATTCTGAAATAGTCTTATAGAGAAATAATAAAATACAACTATTTAAAGACTGAAAATTTATGTAAGAGATGTACTGCTTAATTTATTAAACTTTTTGTACAATTGAAAACTCTAAAGTTAATCATGAAATGTAACCCTACCTTGAATGAGAGTGGATTCCAGAAACTTGACTGTTGTAGAACAAAGAGTTGTGACTTAGAGATAACTTCTGCTGTTCTCATTACCAATTTTTATATCTCTGAGTTCCCAGAGCACCATAGGCAACCAGAATGATGTTGTTCATCTTGCACTAATCCAGCAGCTTGCTCTGGTTAAGATAAGGATGACATTTGACCTGTAAACAGAATAGAAAGGTATAAAATAATTTTAAATCACTTATTCATATCAAAGAAATATTAAAGGGAAGGAAGCTGAATAAAATAGTCAATATTAGCATGAAATTTAAATTGAGCGTTCCAATACCATGTCATGATATTTTCAAATAAATTTGATATCTCTCTTGGGAAGTTAAAATAAAATAACATTCTTGAGATTCAGTAACCTCATGGGCTAGATCTTTGATGCTAAATACCATTTTTTTCAGTGGGAGACATGACAAGTTCTATGAACGCGAAGCACTTTGAATATTGACTAAAGCAAAGATATGGTCAAATATTCTGTTGAGATAATGTCTGAAAGAGGACAGGAAGTTGTTAGAAATTTAGCCTGTGACACTGAGTGGATTTCTGTATTGAAAGAAGAATAAATAAATTACGGAGAAGGAAAGAGGGAAGGAGGCACACACAGAAAGAAAAAGATACATGTTCACTTCTGCGTGGATGTTAAGCTGTTGAGTCAATGAAAACCAAATAACATTAATCAGTTATGGACCCATGTGTTAATACTATAATTGTTAATGATCATCTTTTTTTCATGATAAAACTGGCTGGAATTATATCTAATGGGTCATCTTACAGCCATTTTCTGAGCCAGTTTGGAAAAGATACATATAGAAAGAAGGTGGAGTCAATGAGAAGCCATGTAGCCAGAGACAGATGCCTTTGTGTGAGAGCACAGAAAATTCCCAGTAGGCCACGACCTCATGGTGTTGCACAAATTAATGGAGATGGGGTTATTTTAGGAAATAATAGCTAGCTAGAAATAGGCTTAAATTATTTTCCAAACAGTATTGCAAATAACATAGTTTCTATGGGATTATTTTGGGTTGGAGCGCCTGAGAATAAACAAATAGTACCTGGCAACACACACCTAGCACATATGCGCAAATATTTCAAAATTACCTAACAAGTTCTATAGAAATGTCTGAGTCCCTTTGCTTGTTATAAAATAATACCCAGCAGTTGTCAATGGTTTATCAACCATCATGCACTATTCTGTGTTGTTCCCTTTTATGCATTTCAGGATTGTATTTGTGGCAATAATAATGGAAAAATACAGGAAAAAATTTCAGAAAGACTAACCTTTTATATTTTAATTATTGATTAAATTTAATGTGGAGTATTAATTTTTTTACATGTCCAATTGTGGCTTCTTTGTTCTTTGAATATGTTTCTATGTTGAGTGTCAACTAACTATTTCCAATAAGAAATGGCCAAGTAGAGGCTTCATAATGACCAAATGACAATAAATGTCTGAAGCAGTATAATTATTCAATCAATCTCTTCTCCTCAAATATAATATATGCAATAATAAAGAGACCATTACAGGAAACACATACTTTATCAGTATATAGTAATTTGTTAAAAATTCATTCTTCATATGAAAATGAGTGGCTTCCTTTCTTACATGTGATGTAATAATTTAACTTTACTGCTTCCTTTCTGTTGACTGACCATTAGACAGGTAATACAAATATTACAAAGTAGGCATAGAGCAATATTGTTTAACCATTAGCCTAACAGTAGTGGCACCATTAATCATCATTAGCTAGGGTGTAGAAAGATTTAAACATTAGCCACTAAGTAGGAGTGGTTAACCACCAGAACGGGAGTGCCACTTGTTAGCCATTATATAGGAAGCTGATATATGATAATTACCAACTTCCCCTTCAAGGCATCAGAAGATTCAGGGCGTGCTTAGGCAGAGGAGTGACAGACCATGAGTTCCAAGCAGCAGTTTGTCAAACTAAATGATGGCCACTTCATTCATGCCCTGGGTTTTGGAACCTGTAAATCCCAAGAGGTAAGGAGATAAGATTCTAAGTATTTCCAGGCCAGAGCTATTCCATGTACAAGAAGGCAAATAGTTAGACTTGACATAAATCAGTGTTTCATTGAAACCACACTTGTTTATTATTCCTGTTAAATAGAGGTTGGAGCAGTGGCTGCAATTGGTGGCTGTGGGTAGGAGACTAATCTGTTTCCTTAGATAGACTGAGTCATGATTCTGTCAGAATAGTGTCTTTATTCATGCTTGCCCTGCTCCTGGTAAGCCAGGAGCGATGCAGGAGAAAAAAGAGAAAGTTTAACTCTTCAAACATTTTTTTTTTTGAGCATGGGTGTTAGTGTTGTATATGATAGAGCTACAGGGCACAAGCCTCAGAGGCATTGGGGCATTTACTATAACTCAATCTTGGACTTCAGGTATATATATAGAGAGAGATTGTTTATGATCTCCGGTTATTCTTGCTGGAGACTAGGCTCTCTGGTCTTAGCAGAATGTGGCCGAGTCTTTTTTCTTGCATTTGCTTTTCAGGCCCAGACCTGCCTGTGAGTTTACTGTTCTGGTTGGGGCATGTCAACTCTAAGAGTGAACTTGAAATGAATCTTCAGGCTATAAACTCCAAACTTAATGGGATATATCCATGACTTAACAATTCTGGGCACTGTGCTTTTCCTATGTCTATGTTTCTTGACTTGATAGAAGAGAAGAAAGTCACCAGATTGCCTATCAATGTTCTTGGTTGCAGTGAGAGGGACTTCTCTGTTCATGTCTACAATCCACAGCATGTTATTTTCTTTCAAGAATGCAAGATCCTTGGAAATCAGTGTGGTAACTCAGGGTGTCTCCCTGTAGTAATGCATGATACAAGTATTTGAGGGCTACTTCAGTTTTGTTTTGGAGTAGCCTTCTGCACCACACAGAGAATGCTCCACTAGAGCTACGTAAAGTGCCCCATGTAAAAATTCTGAACTATAGGAAAATTACTGGAATTTATAATATATCCTTATTATTGGGAGAAAGAGGACCTGGTAACCATAAGTGTGAATTACTGGTCTTTATTAATACATGTTGGGTTTACAGCATGGTGGTCTCCGAACCGAAACTATCAAGGTGTACTGTTTATTAACCTAGAGGGAATTTCTTGTTTGTAAATTTCCTGAAACTTTGAAATTCTGTGACAAAAGCTCATTTCCCTTAACTTCAAATTCACCCAGTTTCTTCCTATTAGATCTATTTATATTTACCTAGATGATTCTGGATATATACAGGATTAGTTACTTTTCAAGGTGGCAAAAAAGGAAGAAAGACTGTAACAAGTCAAGGGTCCTGATAAAACTTCAGTGCTGGTAACTCATAGAGTGACTTTGTTTTTAACTCCGTCAGAGCTGGTACCAGAGAAGGTGGTACCAGGCAGAATTTCAGTCACTGTGGTTTATTTTGAAAGATAACTGTAGAAATTGTTAAAATAATAAAAAAAATGTATTCTGCCTTTCTTCTCAACCCCTTTGTATGTGTTGTATGACTACATATGTGTTTGTGCTTTTGTGCACATGTGTGTTTATGCCAAAGGTAAAAGTCTGACTAAACTCTCACTTTATTTTTGTGAGGTAGGCTGTCCCACTGTATCTGGAACTCAGGGATTCAGTTTGACTTGCAGTCCATGAGCTCCATGGATCACCCTGACTTTGTTTCCGCAAGCACTGGGTCTACACGTGTGTGCCACCGTGACATACTCTCCTTTTACGTGAGGGCTGGGGTCTGAACTAAGATCCTGAGACTTATTAGCAAACACTTTATTGAATGAGACATCTTCCCAGTCTACACCTTAAATTCTTTAATAAAGAACTGTCATGTCTTTATCCGAATCTCACAGTCAAGGCAATACTCTTAGATTTAATTTCAATCATATCTTTGTTAAGCAAGTTATCTTTGGTTGAAAGGGCTGACACCCCAAATGAATAATCTCCAATATGATGTTCACAATTTATTTTAAGGAGAATATATTCCTAGAGTAGGGTTTTTTTTTTTCTCTGCCTGTATTTAGTTCTCTCAGACAAAGAAAAAAACCAACATAAGATACTGTTCTCTGTTCAAATCCCTATTACTAACTTGGTGTTGTGTGGTATCTGAGATCTTTGCTATCTCATGATTATGTGACAGTGTCTTAGCTGGAGTCAAGGAAGATTGTCTATGTAATTTTGCTTGTCCCAAGCAGACTTCTTTTTGTTTATTTTGCTTAGTAACCCCACTATGTAAATTGAGTGTGACTTCCAAGCAAACATTTGAACCCAGTATGAGCTTGGCATTTATCAGTGCCAGTAAGAACCAGGATTGCATGGGGATAAAGAGATTTCTTTTGATTGTGAAAGGCTTGCTATTGATCAGGAAAGACCCCAAGAAAGTAGATCTTGGCTCATTTTCTCCAATGTGGGGCAAAATATAGGCAAACAATGACTCTATGAAGAGTCTTAGTTTTCTGTGACATGTACAATATTTCTGTAGAATTCCTTATGTTTTATAGAATAAAAAGTGTGAATTCAAGGATCCAGGGCCTAGGCTCTTGCCTAGTGGTCTGAGGGAGACTCTGAAAGACTAAATTTTTTCTGATCTAGTAAACACCCATCTAGGCTCACTCTGAGTTAGCTTTCTGAATGCGCATCTCTAAATACCTCTTTGGGTTGTTCCTCTAGATTCCCAATAGCAAGTCACTGGAGGCCACCAACCTAGCTATAGGTGCTGGGTTCCGCCATATTGATACTGCTTTTGCATATCACGTGGAAGAGGAAGTAGGGCAGGCCATTCAAAGCAAGATTAAAGCTGGCATTGTAAAGAGAGAAGACTTGTTCATCACTACAAAGGTAGAGTTTTTATAGCATCCAAGTATGCAAATCATTAAAATATAAGGAATGGAAAATTATATTACTTGAGCAGAAGTTGGTTAAATGTGTCTGTTGTATAAATGGGTGAGAGAAAGTAATTTTCAATTATAATCTCTATGAAAAATAATTCAGTTTTTGAATGTTATTAGTGGTATTTGGTATGTGTTTTATTTCTTGAGTAATAGCCTTTCATTGTTCAATGAGTTAACAATTACAAAGTATATACAACCAAGTTCACATTGTTAAGTATGAGTTAAGTAAATTCTGGATTAAAGGTAATGATTATAACTTTCCTTCAAGTACAAAAAATAGTTAAGTATTAGGATAAACAAGTATTCATGTATGGGCAATGTATTAATTAATCACAACTTCTAATCCTCAACTTCTGCAGCTTTGGAGTACTTGCCTTCGACCAGAACTTGTCCAACCTACTTTGGAAAAATCATTGGAAAGACTGCAACTGGACTATGTTGATCTTTACCTTATACATTACCCCGTACCATTGAAGGTAGGTGATTGTATTGTCAAGTGTACATATTTTTTTCATGGGGCATGGATATCATTTTTATGGATGGTTGAGACAATTTTCCATTATAATTTCATGTAATTTTTTGTTACTAAACTTCTGAGTATGTTTACTACACAAAGGGCTTACTAGATTATGAAATAAGGTATCCAAGAAATGGTCAGAATCACAGATTAGAAGTAACTTCCAGAAAATCTTGTATTTCCACATCTTTAACATTTATTTGTATTACTGGATGTTTGCTTGGGTCTTATTCCAATTTTCTCCCTTGGTGGCAAGCATGGTCCCAAGAGAGTTTCAGCTTCAGGGTCATTGACTCTTTAGGACTTGTCAGAGAGAGGGCAGGGTACCCTGCCCTGTGGGAAGTCCAAGGCCATCACCCCTCCATTCAGGCTTAGGAAGGTATGCATCCAAATAGAATAGAATCCCAAAAAGCCAGTACATGCAGTAGGGACAAATCCCAGTGCCATTGTCATTGGCTTCTCAGTCTGCCCCAATTGTCAACCAAATTCAGAGGAACCAGTTTGAGCCCATGCTCGTTCAGTCCCAGTCCAGCTGGATTCGGTGAGCTCTCATTAGCTCAGGCACACTGTCTCAGTGGGCTTCTCTTTATCTTTTCTTATCACAATCAATCTTGTACACTGTCCTGATTGGCCATTCTTGGCTCACATGCCTGCCCTTGTGCCCACAGACATTCATATTTATTATTTATCCTGGGATAGGATTGATATAAATTCTTGCTGACATTCAAGGCCCTGCAATGGCTGGGCTTCTCAGTGAATATGAAACATTTTCCTTTTTTTTCCTGAAAGAAGGAGTAAACAAAAAATACAAGACAAAAGAATACAATACATCATTAAACAAATGTTCCACAGCATAAACAAACATAACACACTTTAAAATAACATTTTACAACAAGAAACCATTGCTTAATCACTGATCTATCTCTCCATCTCCTTCAAGATATTCTTAAAAACATTACTATTGGTGAGACACCTGTTTTGTGAGATTTTCTTAACAAGCATTTCTCTTCCAGCCAGGGGATAATGATTTCCCAGTAGATGAACAAGGGAAAGTATTATTTGACACAGTGGATTTTTGTGCCACGTGGGAGGTGAGTACTTTTCAAAGGAAAAATAAATCAAGCAGAGGGAGGGTGAATCAGTCTATTTTCCCATACTTATTTATATGCATACTTATCATATGTAGTATATCATACTCAATTTTCAAGAGAAATCCTATACATTTCTATTTGGCTGATACTTTATTCTTCATCATATTTAAGTCCTGTGATCATCTGGGCAATGTACCCCTTCACACCTTTTTTATTTTAATGTCTCTCATCAAACTTAGGACCTTGTGCACACTGGCAAGTGCTCTAATATTGAACTATATGTCTAGCTCTAGACAGTTTTCTTTGTAATTGCTATAACTTCTCTTTATATTGATGGAGTCAGTTTACAAGTATGACATTTCATAACCCCTTTCTCATCACCAGGCATTGGAGAAGTGTAAGGATGCAGGATTGGTCAAGTCTATTGGAGTGTCCAACTTTAACCACAAGCAGTTAGAGAGAATCCTGAATAAGCCAGGACTTAAATACAAGCCTGTCTGCAATCAGGTAAGGATTCTTGTTTTCTCCCCATCTTTCATGCTTTTGCTCACTTGTACTACTAACACTTGTTCATTTTCCCTCTGCCCAAGTGGTTTTTATACTGTGGAAAAGAAGATTCTGAGAACAGTACCATTGTTTCAAAAGACATGGGGGATTCTAATTTTAACCTGGGACTATTAAAGTATTTGTGAGAATTTATAAGTTCTGGGTTGGTCTAACAGGCAGAAGTTAAGCCCAGAGAAAATTAATCTTCTACCCCAGCTAAGAATAATGAGTGAGCTTGGGATACTTTCTTGAAAGACTGAGTTGAAATTAAAAAAAAAAAAAACCAGCCAGTGGTCAGGACTTATATGAAGTTTAAATGCTTCTCACCATCCTATTACATTCCTTCCTCATGATTTTATTAAGTTTAGCAGCTGGTATCTTTAATTACTTTACTACCTTGCTGACCATTAAGTATGATTTTGAAATAAAAGCTTGCCAAGAAAATGATCTTAACAGAATCCCTCAAAATAAATTCTTTTGTCCTTCAAGAATAAATGCAACTGTTTGATCTTTTAAATTCAAATGTGATATTGCATATGATTTTCTTTGTCTACTTTATTGGCTTTAAGTTTTAGTTTGTCATATATGAGCATTTGATATAATCTGATGTCTTTCTCTCATATTCTTTCACAGGTTGAATGTCATCTTTATTTAAACCAGAGTAAGCTGCTGGATTACTGCAAATCAAAAGACATTGTTCTGGTTGCTTATGGTGCCCTGGGAACCCAGCGATATAAAGATTGGTAAGAAGATGAAGAGTATGCATGAAGCACCACTGTCATTTAGCATCATGACACTCAGTTCCCAGGGAGAGAGGCAACATTAGAAGAACCATGTGAAACAGAAGTTTGTGGCCCAGGGACTTCTACATAGCCTTGCATTTTAATTTCTTTTTTTGTTGCTCTGTTAAAATACTCAGACAAGAACTACCTCAGGTAGAAAGGGCTGATCACAATTCTAGGGTGCAGAGCATAAGAGCAGGAAGTCAGGGAGTCAGGAGATGAAAGCAGGTGGTCTCTTCACATTGCAATCAAGAAGCAGAGATTGACAAATGAAACTAATGATCTGATCATTTTCTCCATTTATACAGTCTAGGAGGCAGGCAAATGGTCACATCAATAATTAAAATGGGTATTCCCACATCAATTTTCATAAGATAAACTCTTACAGGCATTCTAGAAGCCCATGTTTCGGGTGATTCTGGTCTTTGTCCAGGTGACATTTATCTGTAACCATCATGTCCATTCTAGAATGAGTCCTCTACTGTGTGTTGAAGCACCATAACAAAACCAAAACCTTGACCTCGGGGGCTCATTTCTACTTTCTTACTAGGGTGGATCAGAACTCTCCAGTTCTCTTGAATGATCCAATTCTTTGTGATGTGGCCAAAAAGAACAAGCGAAGCCCCGCCCTGATTGCTCTGCGATACCAGATTCAGCGTGGGGTTGTGCCTGTGGTCCAGAGTTTCAAAGAAAATGAGATAAAAGAGAATTTGCAGGTGATGAGCTCTGCTCCTTAGGGCTGTTACTTAGTATCTTCCATATGCTTGTTTCCTTCAAATCTCTGTTTACTTTTTTGAGATTAAGCCTATATTTCCAGCATTTTCTATGCATGTGAACTTTTAGGTGCATCGAGAAATGTTTTGTCTATGACATAAACAGCAGTATGAACTTGATAGACTTAATGTTGGAGATGATGTAGAGTTTGCTTTGCCTTGTCAGCCAAGTACTACCTATCCCTTTCACATAGACCTCTTCTTTATATTCTGAAATGAGGGATCTGGACGGAGCAATTTTGATTCTAGACTTTTCTATGGTTTAATTTTTAATTCATTGTATGTTCAGGTAATCTAATTCTAGATTCCCGTGAGTTTCCCTTACACCAGGTTTCTGCCTGGCTCCAAAATGTGCCCTTTCAAGTCATCTCTTTCAACACTCTTCCCCACTATCCACCCCAAACCAGATTCTTCATGTACCCATCTCCAGCCAACTCCAGTGAGATCTCTTCATTTTCCCCTTCCCCCGGAAATCCATGCATCCCTCCTTGGGCCCCTCCTTGTTATGTAGCCTATGTGGGTCTGTGAATTGTAGCATGGTTATCCTTTACCGTACAGCTAATATCTACATGTAAGTGAGTACATTGTCTTGCCCAGCCCCAATACAAGGGGATATTAGTCTTTCCTAAACTTGATATGCCATGCTTTCTTGATACCCGTCAGAGGCCTGCCTCTTTCTGAACAGAAATAGAAGAGATGCAGGGCACACGGGAAGGAGAAACTGTCCTAGAGCTGTAAAGTAAATGAATAAATTTAATTTAAAAAAATTGGTATTAAAACCAGAGCACAGCAATTGAACCAAAGGCACTTCTGATACTTAAGCCTGGCAGGCAACTACAACTGTCTCACTGTTGTAGGCAAGCTTTGCTGGTGTTCCTAGAAATAGTCCTGGAGAAGAATAAGCCCAGTTTTTATAATAAATGCCTGCAGAAGTGAGCAGGGGTGAGCGGTTAATGATGTGTTAAATTTATATATATGATAGATATATGTTTCACAAATATATGGTAAATCATATATTAAGTATATGTAGTATTTATCATATATAAATATATATGCTATAATATGGTATATGTAATAATTTGAAAATGATATATATGGATTATTTAAAAGCAACATACATGCACACACACAAATGAACACTGGTAGTTCAAGTGTAGAACCATGAAAATACAATAACTTGTAAATCTAGGTAATAAATAAAAAGATGGTATATTTTCTCAAAAAATATGGGTTATATGTTTGCTGTTTTTGCACAGTATCAATAGTGATTGTTAGGCAGATTCAGAAGAGTTTGCTGAATGGCCTTCTCCTAAATTTTGCTTGATTTCATTCTCTTCTTATTACTTTATGAAAAAGAGGGACCCTTTACAGTCTTATACTTTTACTATGTGGTTGACCATCACATCTTTTCACTTGTCAGGCAAGAGTTTCCCTTATTATTTTACTAAAGCTTTGTCTTATTACCCCCCAGATTGTTCTCAAAATGTAGTTTTTATAAGTTGTAAAATATGGATCCAGAAAGATATATGTAATTTTAAGGGATTTATTCAGAGTAATTGCATTTTTGAGTTCTTTTCTCTGTTTCATTATGTTCTCTCACTACCCTAATTTTGTGTCTTGCTAGTTTTAGCAGTTATTAAACTGCTGACAAATTTTCTTGTCCTCCATCCACCTTTATCTGTCTCCATATTTTTAAGGCACCGAAGGACTTAAGCCCTGCATGTGTTTAAGATGTGAACTGTTAGTGAAAAATCATTTTGAAGTTAATATGTCTCAAATTAAAATAAGATTCTTTTTTAAGTTAACTCTTTTGTCCTTACACGAACATGTTATAATTAGAATTTGGGTAAATTTTGACTTACAAAATGCTGAAGAGAGCAATTTTTTACTTTTTGAAATTTTGCTCTAGATTTCTTGAAAACTATGTATGTCAACTGTTTCCCCCCCTCAAACTGCCTTTATGATTCCTCTTGTTTAAGGCATTATGTAATTTTAATATATCTCAAAGCAATTTTCCTTGGCATTTATTAATCATGAATGTTTTAGTAACCACAGTCCATCATTTTCAGAGATGTGTTCTACTGACATTGCTTTTCAGACAAAAATCTGATTCATTCAAATATTAAAACCTTTGTGTTTTTCTGAAAGGTTTTTGAATTCCAGTTGTCTCCTGAGGATATGAAAACCCTAGATGGCCTGAACAGAAACGTTCGATATCTTCCAACTAAGTGGTAAGTAAACACCTCACCTCAGTTTGTTTCAGGTCCAAGTCTTTCCCCTGCTTTTCCATTCATGATGGTCCAGAAACCTAATGTCCTATTCATGTGTAGCAAGTTTTTCCATGGACATAGTTAGTACAGTACTTGTTTCTGAGTATTTGAAAATGTGGATGTGTCATTCTAAAACATAGAGAAGGTTTTGATAGTCATAGTCTAAAGTAAGAAAAGAATCTGCAGGAAAAAAAACACTATTATATTTGAGAATTAATAGCTACCAAAAGATCTTTAGTTTCCCTTTATGATCTATGGTTACAAAATTTGATACTGGGTATAGGCTGTATTATAAATGAAACCTGCATGTATACATAAATGTATATATTCATCTATTGATCTATCTTTTTGTTTTTTATCTATCTGCATGCCTGTTTGTCATCTACCTATATTTTCTGCTTGTTATAATCTTAATTCTCAATAGAAATAAATATAATAATGTTTGAAGGAGGATTAGAAAATCTACAATGCTATGTAAAATTGATATATATATATATATGTATTATTATTAAGATTTCTGTTAGTAAAGAACAGAATGAAGACAAAGGAGAGATGTAACTTGGTGATGAGTCATTGTTGTAAGTAATGGATAATTCTTGCCACACTTTAGCAAGTAATGATTTTTATCAATGCATATTTTTTATTGTTATTTTTATGTAGAGTTCTACAAATTATACAGTTATCTCCTTAGACATGGATGCCCATTTTATGGAGGACATTCTTTTTCTAACTGAGTTTAATACATTACTTTTTACAGAATGAACAATGAGTAAATAATTAATGCACTACTATTAATTAAATGGAAGTGAAAGTAGTAGGCATAAATGATATGTTAAGGTACATTAAGGTATTTTTGCGTTCATCAATGTGTAGAGTTACCTTGGACTAAAGATGACTTATACTTTTCTCTTTCTATGGGGACTGAAGTTGCAAAGGATTTTTGACTCTTCATTGATTCGATACATAGATGAAGCTAAGGAAGATAAATATTTATGATCACACATCTTTGTGTGTTCAGTTCTAGGCAACTGAACATACATTAAGAAAAGTGCATGTCTTTATATTTTAAAAACATTTCTTATACATGTTTGTAAATGATTTTAAGTATATCACTTTTAGCAACTGATCTAGGAACAAAATGGGAGCACCTTGATGGTGCCTTCCTAGATGTAACAATTTACATTGTAGAAATGGATCAAATAGTGTGTGTTTGCTTTTATTTCTTTTAGTTTTGCTGACCACCCTGAATATCCATATTCTGAGGAATATTAACATGGGAACCTAGTCATGACTGCCTGAAATTACTGTTTGTGGACAGTGATGTTGGTGATTTGATTTGGATGCGGTTTGGTGGATGCCTCATTTGCCGTCAACCTACGCTGCTTAGTAACAGTCATGTTCAGCTGAAGCTCCAGCTAATGGTCTTTAAGAAAAGGGATTTGATTTTCATTGTGAATTAAAATAAATATAACATTTTCTCCTCAAAAGATACTTTATTTTTTTAATAAGATAATTTGATAGAAAACTGGTTTATTGGAAGTCTGTGGTTGGTGTTTGGAGATGATGATTTCCATTTTATAAACATTTCAGACTTGGGGTAGGTGGTTTTTCCAGACCAGAGAATGACTCTTAGCAGTTTTCTATGAGTCAGCAGTCCTCTAGCCCTGAGTTAACAAGAAAACACTGCACACTTTCTGTGATTCTCAATCAGGAACATGAGACACACATGGGACCATAGGGTATTGACCAGCAATACCCAAGATTTCTCCACCTGCTTAGCATTAGAATCTTGGAACTGGTGAGTGGGGCATTCCTGAGATAGGTTAGGCTAAAGAGGTGACACAAGAATTAACCTAGTAAAATCATTATAAGTCAGGATGGGAAACATCAGGAGGGAATTGATCATAGCTCTACCTAGAAATGATGCCAAGGCTGGGTTTTTTTTACTAATTTTATTTTTCTCTTCTTTTCTTTAAAGATAATTACATCTTACAGACCTTTAAATGTAAACAAACATTTATAAAGAATCATTTAGAGAACTTGGGTATAATTCTCTCCAAACTCCTTCCTGCTTTTTGGTGGGCGAAGTAATTTTTGACGATGATTACAGGGACTTTTCAGGGGGTGTTGGTTCATCAAACCACATTAGTCTATTAGGATTTCACAGGGTCTCATCTTCTGTGGAAACAAAAAACAGAACCTCTTTTCCAAAGCAACAAATCCTTAGACCCAAATTTTGAAGTCATGATATCTTTAGAACATATATGCTGGCTTAATTTAGCAGCCCACACAATGAAATGTCTCTCTGTATTTATCTTCTTCACAGGAAAAAAAATTAAAAAAAAACCACAATAATATAAATAATTTAGACTCTCTGTGAATTTTCCATCTTTACATGGCTTATTATTTTTACTCTACTACTTTTTCTACAAGTTTAATACTTATTTTATTATCTTTAATCCATGATTGTCTGTACTCTGTTTCTTTAAAGACTATATTTTATACATAAAACTCCACTTATAAATTCAGTTTGGATGTGACACAGTTTTAGGCACAAAATAAGATCTAAGAATTTATCATATAAGATTATGAGAATTTGATAATTTATTTAAACTTTATATAATAAAGATCTTTACTTACATGCACAACAGTTCTCATGTTGCAATCTCATTTACATTTTGTTTAAATTTGCTTGAAATTTTCCCCTTCTTCTCAAGGCTCTAAAAAGAGGGACATTTGCTCTAGTTAGAGGCTGCTTGCTTGTTTCCTGGCTGCCAAGACCCGAAATAACCACACAGAAACTGTATTATTACAACACTGCTTGGCGTTGTGCCCAGATCCATAGAGTCCCCCTAAAACCAACAAGGAGACAGTGTCCTGTATGTAAAAGCAAAGAGCCTTTATTTTCTGCAAGTTTTCAAACTCGATCCTTCTGTGCGTTCAACATTTTGGAATAAACGTAGAGCCCTGACTGAGCTCAGCTAGAGTTGGATTTTTATAGCAGTAAAGGTAGAGGGGGATTTCTAAGGTTCATGATGCCTGATTGGCTGACATTTGTCCAGGGGCGTCCTGATAAATGTGTGTTGGCAGGTGATCCTCTCTACAATGGTTGGAACATTAGGCATTTCCTTTGGATGGTGTGTTCCTTAGTGGTGCTCAGGTAATCTCAGTTTGTGGTTCTTCCTGAAACTGGGTATTGCTTCAAAGTAAACTACTGAAACTCGGGCCTCCATTAAACTTATCGATGGCTGAGTCTTACCAGTGATAATGGTTAGAAGCAAAGAATTTCCTTTGGGTGGGCTGTTTCTATTTAGCTTATCATGGTTGGTTCCTACTTTTCCCCCGTCACAAGCACCAATGACAGGACCCAATCCTGAAAATTTAGAGTGTTACAGTGTCAAAAATATGTTGGACTAGGAAGCTTCAAGTTTTCCTTATGTATACATCAGAAAAATCATGTAACCCAGGCTAACTGACATATAGTCTCTTAGTAAGCAGTCGACTGTGTACAGAAACTGTTTTGAGAAGGCTGCTTGTTTGTTCCATGCTTTTAAGAAAGAATTATTGGGATCTAAGAACTACTTATGTTAATAAATCCGTTAATTGACAACTTGGGCCTACTTTTCAGGCATATCAATCGACACTATAGGTAGTTGTTTTGTTCCCTATGCCAGGGAGTTCCCCCTTGTCTCAGCCTTTCAACCTTTTTTGATCAGGGAGCATGGGATTATATGTTCCTTTCTGCAACTACTTCAAACTGACATGGGGCATGGTTATCAGGGTCCAAGCAGGTTGAAAGGCTAGCCAAAGGTAGGGAGGGAATGTGGCACTCATCAGACTCTGTTGAAAGGGACAGGGAATGTTCATATCAGCTGGACTAGTCCACATCAGCTTTCAGAAAGTTCAGGACTCACCACCATTCAGAGAAGGTTGTCGTCAGCAACCGATGCTTAGATGCATCTTCCAGCCAACTGGAAGCCCATTGGAGATAAGTTTAAACTAGGAACAGAAATTAAAATTTATGTACTTAAAGAAAAATAATACATTATTGAAATCCATATTGTAGAAAAAGAGTAGATAGCAAGTATCTGTAAACAGAAAGAATAGACTCACACCTTTGAGTTCTGGCAAAAACTACAGATTTTGGTTAGAAGCATGTATATTTTTCTGCTGTCCATAGATTCATGTATGGTTTGGGAAGAGATGCCTTTGGCCTGATGAGAAACACCTTTTAGTTTATGTTTAAATGGCAATGAGACTAAATCTAAAATCTTAAACTTTTGACCCAAACAGTAACTGGTCATTGTTCTATCAGCTTATTAGAACTATACTATAGAGGGCAGGAAGAAATCAGAAATATTTTCAATATCTTACCCTGTATTTAAATTTTGAGTCATTTTTTAGATCCTCAAAGCTTATGAACCTTTATGTTCTCAGACATTAAAACTTTTTTTTAGGAAACCTAGTTTAGAATGCACTACCAAGCTGGCTATAGCTTTCTGGAAGGATCTGGATACCTTTTGCTGCCAAACTGACATTATAACTTCCCTAGCCATCAATACTATCAGAGATCTCAGAAGGATAAATAAAGTATATCTGAGTACAAATCAAGTAGTTACTGAATCAGTTAAAAATGACAGGAACAAGAGTCCATATACAGTTAGTCATACCCAGGTCTCCATAGCACTGGAGGCAGAAATATCCAGAACAGCAGTCTTACAGTCTTAGCTATTCCCATAAGATAAAATTTTTTTCCTGTGGAAGAGGGACATGGAAAAAAACTGACCTTATTTTTTCTAGGCAAAAGTGGTGCAATTAATTCTCCAATGTCCTGCTATTTGTCCACAGTCTGGACTGGGTCCTGGCAACAGGTGTTGCACTGAGGCACCTTGCCTAGTGGTTAGCATCATTGTAATCCAGGTGGAGACATCATGGTGTCCCACAAACTTCTTTGAGACCTTGGGTTATTGCTAGGATCTCAGAGTCTCTGTCTACTACAATAAGAGTTTTATCATTATTTTAAATGTCATATTCAGCAGATCTCTGATGTATGAGGACGGCCTAGGCATGTCTGATTAGACAAACTTTGTTTCTAGTTACTTAGTTTAAGTTTGACTTTGAAAACAAATACAGAGAACTTAATAAGGCTTATTCTTGTAACTAATTATATCAGTACTTTGAGGATGACTGACTAACTTGTATTTCCTAACAGTCTATAATACAAGACTAGAACTCAACACTCTGTAATAATTTTTCAATTAAAGCTAATAAAGAAACTGAATTAGTCATTTTGAAGGTAAAAACAGAACAAGTTTTATCTAGCTGTTAATGTTTTCTCCTGCTAAGGCAAGGAAAAGGTCCTAGGGTAAAATGGGAACAGGAGGGAGTCTAAGAGTTAACATTGTCCTAGGGCAAACTGAGACTCAGGTCTACCTTCCTGATGATCTATAGAACCCACCTTGACAGGTATGTACCAAGTTGCTTGGAAAAGCTGCCTTGGGCTTTATATTTCCCCCCCTTCACAAAGTAGCAATGACAGGACTCAATCATGGGTCCTATCTGTCCAGATCTCAAGGGGGTGATACTGGGACCTCAATAATATCAGTTGAACAGTATTGACCCTTTCTCAAATGAAAGCCTGCGAAAGTCTGTTGACGAGACAGGGACCAAGAGTAAGTAGCAGGAGCAAGATGGTTAGGGGGCCTATTAGGTTTGAGAGTAGTGATTAACCAGGGATACCAGTTGAACAAGTTTTCCTACCTTCCAGTTCCCAAGTGAGCCAGTCTGTTCCCTATCATTAATCCCTTAACAAGGCCATTGAATCTCTAATTACCCCAGAGGGATTGATTTAGAAACAACATTCTTCCCCCAAGGCAGCACGTGAAGAGGAGGTCCAAATCTCTTCGATTCTGTGAGGCAATCTCATCCAGGGAATCTAAGGAGGTCTCTAACTTGAGTATAGACTGTTCTATGTTTTTGAGATCTGAATTGATGGCCAACTGTAGGGCCTGGTAATCTTGGAGGATTAAGTCTGAGGTGCCCACCCTGGTAGCTCCACATATGGCCAGTCCTATCAGGGAAGAGAGCAATATAGCCCGTTTTCCCCTGACAGGAACAGGACATAAGGTCATTTCCATTTGGGCCTCTGTATAGTATTTTATGTTGACAAACAATTAGACCATCACACAAAATCCTCATCCTCTGTGAAGGACTTTCCCATGGATGCAGGGACTGAGTCCCAACGTGCAAGTCCACCATCCAGCAGATGCTGAATAGGTTTTATTTTGTATGCTGATGGTTTGGTTACATAGACCCGTTGGGGCTTGCCTTCCAGTGTGCACTACACAGGTCCCCGTACCTGTCAAATGTTGTAGTGAAAATTTTTCTTGGTTTTCCCAAGGGCAGAATTTTGGGAAGACTGAGGTATAAACACCAGCTATTGCAACTCTGACATAGAAAGGGGGTAAGGGGGTTGTGTATTCAGATAAAGCCAGCATTCTTTAGTCAGATTGGGTTTCAAGGCATTTATCACCTGGAAGGATTTTAAAACCAAGTCTCATAAAGGGTGTTGACCATATGAAGAATCTTGGCTCTGAGGGTTGGTTCCCAAGTGGACTACTGGTGTCTGGCCCCCTCCTGGGGATCTGGTGACTAGAGCCTCCTGAGGTACCAAGACTGAATTATATCCTATTGCCACTGTGGAGTTTGTCTGAACCTCTAATCTAATAGTGAAGAGGGCCCCTTGTACTGGCCCAAGATAAGGCTCAGGGCCAACATACATTTGAATACATCAGGTTTTACTAGTAGTCCATTTCTCCATCAGAGTCCATTTTCCTTGATCAGCAAATTCTATCCTGAAAGGTTTACATTTTTTTTCTTCCATAGGACTCACAATCCATATCATATATACCCTGTCAGACAGTGATCATATTATCTCTTATTGGTGGTGTCCACCAGACACCAGTACTCACACATTTCCAAGATGCACAGAAGTAAGATTCGGATCCCCCACATTGCCTGGACTGTGGAGATACAGGGCTTTAACCAAGGGCAAGGGTGTGCAACAAAGTCTTTCAAAGCAATTATGTAAGGAATCTGGTCCGGGTGTCCAAGTTCACCAAAAATCAGGACTTTTGTCCTAAAAATGATATACAGGCCAAAGGTTCCCTCTATTGGCCAACAGGTTCCAAATGCTGGCCATTTGGTCTTGCAAAATATGGTTGTAATTTCAGCCCCTGGCATCAATCTTTGGAAGCCCACCAAACCTTTACCCCTCCCCAGGAAAGTTCAAGACCACTTCTACAGGTTATTTAAACTTTCTCTCAGAGAATAAACATGGGGTTTTTCGTCTTCCTCTTCAGTGGTCGTGTCTGCTTTCTCTTCCCCCCTTGGGCCACCTGAGGGCACAGATGTCCGATTAAACCAGGATACCTTTTAATTTGTCCTAATTTTGTCTGGTTTAAATTATTTATATTGGTGGAGAGGTTTGTTTTTAGGAATATTCCTAACATTTTGGAGATTCTGCCAGGGGTGCTGTTTTTTTTTTTTTTTTTGTTTGTTTTTTTTTTTGTTTGTTTGTTTGTTTTACACAGGCTCAAGGCCATGTGTTGGAAAAGGCCCTTATTGCCTGTGCTCTCTGCCAGGCTCAAATTAGCTTACAGGCTAGATTGGCTTCATCTTGGTGTGCTCTCATTTTATGCTCTGTGCTGGTAGGGTAGGGGGTTATTTGTGTCTTTATTTGTCAATTTTTGGGCTTTCCGTTGAAGTCACGATTGTTCAGTGAAAGTTTGATCCAACTGGCTAAGGTGGGCTTAGCTGGTGTGAAAATTGCATGGTCAGGGACGCCTACCATTCAATTTTCACAATCCCTATCCCATTTTGGCTCAAGAGTTATCCCAGTGGATGCACTGTGATAGACTTGGGTATAGACTTTTAAAATGGGATCTTGCAATTCGAAGCCATATCTGTTATCGCCCCTGGGCTACCTCCTACAAAATGTTTATAAATTGGGACTTTCCAATACAGTCTGTCCTGAATGGCTAATTTCTTTATGCACTAAGATTTGGCCTCAATAAGACCTTGACAATGGAACACGATGGCCACTAGAGGGAACTCTTGAGTTTTCCATCCTCCGTGGCCTAAAAAATATTTGCCACCATGGGGATAAATGGACAGAACTTGCATGTGTCCACAGTTCTTGGGCACTTCGCTCTCGCCCCTCCCTCAGTAGCCAGTGTCTTGCAGCACCCGTTTTGGTCACCAGGGTCATGGTGCCTCCAGATTTCCAACCATCTTGAAATTGGGACCCTGACAACTCCACCATGACCATGCATCCAGAGGTACTGGCCACATCCCCACTCACTCAAACCCTTACTACCAGCCCCCTCCTGTGGAACAACATTCTCTACATTCCTCCCCTTACCTATACCCACCTCCCCCCCCCAAACAGGAAGTTCAAGGTCAACTTTCTCCTTAACCAGCTTCTTCCCTTCATCTCACTCCTGCCTCATCTTCCTACACCCCCTATGCTTCAACCTACTTCTTGGACCTCCTCTACACACTGGACTAACCCCTCCCAATCCTGTCTCCTCTCATAGCACATCTCACCATAATCCCGCCTTCCTCTGCCCTCTCTGGGAGGTAGGGGGAGTTGATGGCATTATTAAAGCCCATGTTCCCTTCTCTCTTCCAGAACTCTCTCAGATAGAAAAGTGGTTGGATTTCTTCTCTGTTAATCCTTCTGTTTATATTAAGGAGTTTTGCTATCTCTCCCAGGCCTACGATCTAAACTGGCATGACTTTTATGTCATCCAGACTTCTACTCTCATCCTGAGGAGTGAAGTAGAATTCAGACAGCAGCTAGACAGTATGCAGACCAGACTCACCTAATAGACAGTCCCTGTGGGGGAAGTGGCTGTGCTAGTCACCAAACCATACTGGGATTATCAACCTGGCCAAAACGGCTAACAGAGGCAGGGCATCATGGTCTGGTGCCTACTTCAGGATATGGAGTTGGTCTTTCAGAAAGCAGTTAATTTTGACTAATTTTGAGAGATCACACAGCTAGCTGATGAAAACCCAGCCATTTTTTAAAACTGATTACAAGAGACCATGGTCCAATATACTAGACTAGACCCAGCCTCCCCAGCAGGAGCCACAGTTCTGGCTAACCATTTTATTTCTGAGTCAGCACCAGATATTAGAAAAAAAATTAAAAAAGGATGAAAAAGGTTCAAACCTTCATTAAAAATTGATAAAAATGGCCTTTAAAGTTTTTAATGCCCAAGAAGAAATAGCTGAGTCCTCCTGACAGATGAAGCTACAACAGATAGGAATGCTTCGAGCATAAGCCCTAGCAGCTGCCCTAAGGCCACTGGGACCCCCCAGAAGAGGGACAAGGGAAATCAACCACAAGGTTATATCCTGCTAGAGCTTAGCCTACGTCACCCTTGATGGCAGCCTGCTTCAAATGTGGTCTAAATGGCTATTTGGCATGATATTGCCTTGGACCTTTGCCTATGAAGCCATGCCCTATGTGCCAGAAAACTGGACACTGAAGATCACAATTTCCCCATACGGGCTCATCCTCTATGCCATGGAGGTCCAGCCTCAACAACATTGGTAAATGAGACTGTGTCAGCCTTCAGACTTCTTGGCCTTGCAGACTATTGATGCAGCCCAGACTTGGTGACTCCCATAGCCCTCTCTGAGCCTAGGGTAATGCTGCAGGTAGGAGGTAAGTCCATTGCTCTGCTTTTGAACATGGGAGTTTCCTACCCTGTTTTAACATTTCATTCAGTCATGGGGGTAGAAGGGACCCACTCCTCCCCACTTAAATCTCTGACACTGTCCCTGCATTCTTTCAGGGCAATTTTCTCATTCATTCTTTTCAAGTTATATCTGCTTGCCCTGCATCTCTACTTGGTTGAGATATTCTCAAATATTGTCTCAAATATTGAAACAAGTATCAGTTCTTCTTTTTTATAGGGTTATATAATCACATGGCAAACAACCGTGAGTGGATATAGTATTCATTTTTCACTGAGTTGCACTCCCGTGCTATCCTATGTCTCTGTATTTCTTTTGTCTCTCTGTCTATTCTGCCTAACATTTCTAATCCACATGCCCCTACTGTGGAATGTACAAACTCATCAAGGCCACACCCCAAGACTTGGGTTACATTTTTTTAAAGATTTATTTATTTATTATGTATACAACATTCTGCCTCGATGTATGCCTGCACGCCAGAGGGCGCCAGATCTCAGTACAGATGGTTGTGAGCCACCATGTGGTTGCTGGGAATTGAAATTAGGACCTCTGGAAGTGCAGCCAGTGCTCTTAACCTCTGAGCCATCTAACCCAAGACTCTTTCATGTAGAATAAATATTGAAAGGACAATAAAAAAAACATAGTTGAACAAGTACAGAATAATGAACCGCTCAGAAAATCATCACACATTGAAATCAACTTGACATTGATGATTAATGAAATGTCCCTTTCCTAAGAAAGTCCAAACCTTTGAGTCATGGTCAAAGTTCTCAGAGCTAGAAAAAAAATAAAATAAAGGAGAGAGAACAGCATTCTTTCAATATTTTACTGTCACAGTCTGTTGAAAAATTATCTCATGAATGACTTACACAAACAAGAATGTAAAAGAACCATTTTGTTTTGCTGAAAGATGAATCAAGATACATTTTCATCTAAGGTTTCATGATGAAGTGGGGTTAGCAGTCATGTCCAATTTACCTTTGGTAGTAGATCATTAATCTGAAAAAATGAGATAGGTTAGAACTTGACCACAATTCTTTTACTTATCAAATTCACACAGCTTAGCCAAGCAGGAATAGCTAGATACAGATTAATAGTATGTCATCTATTAATTCGACCTGTACATGTATTTGTACAATTCTCAGAAATGATGCTGTATCTCATTAACACCTGAGTCTGGTTTCCCTTCACTCATGTCAGATGACTCACAACTGCCTATAACTCCGGTTCCATCGAATTCCACACCTTCTTCTGGCTTTGACGTCTCATATCTGGACTCCCCCCAAATACATACATACATATATACATACATACGTTTGCATGATACGTTTCACAAAAAAATCAGTAGCAAGACTGATTTCTCTAATACTCATGGATAACATAATCTGGAGAATCTGGGAGTCTGCTTCAAACTGGAACATTTCTGAAAGTACACTTCAGTTTCCACACATCCTTGATTTTTTTTTTTTTGAATACCCTTAGACCCAAGACACAAATGTTAACTTATGGGCACAGTGGTTCCAAATCCCAGTACAGGGACGAAGTGACCATCATTCCGTGCCACATGCAGATATACAGAACTCATAGCTTGTCAATCATACAATTACACAGGTCTTGAGTCTTCTGCTTGCACAGGGTACAGTCCAGACAAATGTGAAAGCTCCTTAAATATCTAGTGGAAAGTTAAACAGTGGCATGTGGGAGGAGCTGCTTAAAGCAATAGTCCACAGGAAAGAGAGCTAAAGGCTGCTTGCATTTGTATGAATGTGGACTCTAATAAATTACTGCAGAGTGAAAATGAAAGCATGAATTTCTCATTTTGTTCATAATCCACATTGACTTCTTTAAAGTGAAAACAGGAAACTGGTGGATTGTAACTGATCAATCATATGTTGCCTACAACTGCTGCTGGGAGCTCAGTTTCTCTTGAAAAGATATCTTCTTTATTTTGTAAACAGTAAGATTCTCATTGTGACTTTTCAATACAGAGACATGATATCTTGACCATACTGCCTTGTCCACAATATCTTTTGTTCTCTCCCTGACTCCCTAAACAGTCCCCCTTCTACTCTATGTCTTTCTGAAAAACTAGACACCATTTATGGAGAACACATAAGCTATTTGCCTTCCCAAGTTGTTATTTTTATGTTTATCGAGATCCTTTTCACCTGGCTTCATCCATTTTGACGCAAATAAGATAATACTTTCTTCCTTATATCTTAATAAAAGTCCACTTTATATGTAAGCCACATTTTCTTTGTCTATTTGTGCTCTGATTGGAACCTAGACTGATTCTATATA